AGGTGCAGAAGTGGCTGTGACCCGGCAGCTCCAGCACCTGCCGGGGGCTGTGTCACTGCCAGGCTGGGAGAGGATGTAAAAGACCGGCTGCGATTTTCTCCTCTAACTGCATATGGTGCGTTTCAATGGCTTGTAGCTGTTAAAGGAAGCGTTAATGTGTGGGAGATGTATTGGTATCCCTAAATTGAAGATGTGTTGCTTTTGTGCTGATTCACAATCTGAGTTGTGTGGGGAAAAAAAAATTAGCCCGCCTGAAGGACCTTATAAAGTTCCAGAGTTATAACCAGAAATTATAAGTCCTGTATGTATATATAAAATGTATGTATATGTAAAACTTCCTTATTAGTTCAAAATTATCAATATGGAAAGCAAACATTGCTTTCAAAATTTGGGGAATGTTTTTATCACTTTCTCATTTGGGGAATGTTTTTATCACCCAAAATTGATTAAATGGGATGGGGGGAGAGTGTAGAAATAGTGGAGCTAATGCTAATGGTAGACCTTAAAAGAATATAAGTATTACAAAAGTCCAAAAAATACCCAGTTCAGTTCAACACCTCTTGTGTGTTACACATACATGCACTTACCGTGGTGAAAATAGAAATAGTTTAGTTCCAGTGCGCTGTCTGCAGGTACAACTCCATTTCTTCTGGCTGCTGCTCAATCCCGTGTGAACATACACAGGAATATCTTGACTACAGAAAGGCCTGCTCTGAAAGAGATAAGGCAAACAGAAACTATTCCTTGAAAAAGAGAATAATTTATAAAACAGCCGCTGGTGCGGTGTGGGAGCAGCTGAGGGGGAGAGCTGTGCTGTGCAGGTTGTGTCTCCCTCAGAGAGGTGGAACAGCACAGAGGCCTGGCACGGTGCCTGGGGAACAAAGGCAGCCCTGGTGTGTCTGAAGCGTGTTTAACAATGGTGCTAATCCCCCTCTGCAGAGCATTGCCGAGGTGTTCCGATGTTTTATTTGTATGGAGAAGCTGCGGGATGCCCGCCTGTGCCCCCACTGCTCCAAGCTCTGCTGTTTCAGCTGTATCCGGGTGAGTTTGCTTGCTTTGGGCTGTTCTTTCAAAGGTTTGAACTGAAAACTGGCTGAGCTTGTGAAAACACACTTTTCCTGGAGTTCCAAGGATTCCTTTTTTTGGTTTTTTTTTTTTTTGTTTTTTTTTCCCTTCCCCTTTAGTTTCCCTTTCAAAACCTTTTATAACACCCCTGAGGAAGAAGTAGGCAGGCTGTGCATTGCCTTCAGTGCTGCTAATTATAGGCACCATCTGGAATAATTGCTTTAAGGAAGAGACACACAATGATCCCTTCTTTAGCACCTCCTGAGAGTTGGTGATGCCTGTGTGGAAGGGAAAAGTTGGGACAGGAATCAGATGCTGACTTTGCACACGGGAAGGTCACAGCATCACCTCGTGTACCCTGGAGGTGTTTTATAACCCTTGCCAGGCTGCTGTGGTGGGATCAGGTGGGGCCAAATCTTCCTCAGGGGAGTCTGAGGCAGCACCTGAATCCTCATTCCTTTATTTGGGCCCTGCTTCCCAGTGTATCCCACTCCAGCTCCAAATCCAGGTGCTGGTTTGTGTTGCTGTAGCAGCAGAAGGTTCAGCTGAGGTTTCCAGACCTCCAGTAGTATTTCCAGAAATTGGAACAGACATTCATCCTTCGCTCTGGAAGCTCTGACAAGAGCTGGAGGTGAAGGATTCGTGCTGCATATTAAGGATTTTAGTGACATATTGTTGCTGGGTGGTGAGAGATTATTCATGAGACTCTTTAAATGTAGTAGAGAGCTGACAAATATAAACCCATCAAGTGCTGAGCTTTTACACTTGTGAGTTGTAGTGGGCAGGTGAAGTTCTTTGCTCAGCTGTTTGTCCCTGGAGCTTTCTGGAAGAGAAGCATTCACAGGCTCCTTGTGGATTTGATCATTGAACTTCAGCTATTTAATTTGTCTATAAATAACTCAAGAGGAAGAAATAAATTACCTTGAAGACTAATTAGACTCTGAGAAAGATGCTTGTGGTGTCTTTTTCTTGCCTTTATTGAAGCATCCTCTTTAGTCTAAGGCTCTGGGAATCAGCCAGGTGGGTGGTTCCCAATGCAATATTTGGTACCTCCAAATTCTCTCTATAATTTTAACTGAAGCATCTCTGCCATCTGAAGACAAAGTTTGGTTGCTTGTTACTAAGACACAAATAGCAGCTTCTTCTGTGACTAAGTGGTTGAACAGTTAAATTGAAAATTTGCTTAACAGGGAAAAAGTATAGGAAAGCTGTAATAAAAATAAATAACTCCTAATAAATGATAGAATGTATTTGCCTGCAGTTCTTTCATTCCAGCCTGTTTAAAAAGGTTTCTCCTTTTTCCATCACAGCGTTGGCTGACTGAACAAAGAGCTCAGTGCCCTCATTGTAGGTAAGGTATTTTTAATAGCAGCAATTGGGTGGATTGTCCTGTTATGATCAATCTCTTTTTCAATGCAGCTTGCACTAAATTTATAAGCTTAAATTTTTTTCAGACCTGCCTGCTGTTTCTTTAAAAATTGGCCCTGGTGTAATACTTCTTCTAAAATGCATTCTGGTTTTGTGAGAAGCTGAGCAGGATCTTTGTTCTTCCCACAGAACACTGCTGTGCACATACCTGGTGTAACAGGAGTAACTACAGGGAATTCCTCTTTATATTCTTCTTTCAAAAGTCAGAGCCCAGGAGCTTCGGTTTTCAGGGTGAAAATGTCCATTTTTAGTGCCTGCAATTTGTGTGGAAATGATGCAATTTCTGTGCATCATTGCAGGCTGCACCCCCCACCTCTCCCAAATGATCAAATCGACTTAATTTATTTTTTTCTCTTGTAATAACTATTCCAGTTTCTGCTGTTTTTTACCTGTGACTCTTGTGGTAATGTAGAATTGAGCTGAGCTCATTTCAGTGCTTTTTGTTTGGCTCCTGGAGGCGAATTCCTGCTCTGACTGTGCCGTCCTTCCTGCAGAGCCCCCCTGCAGCTCCGGGAGCTCGTCAACTGTCGCTGGGCAGAGGAGGTGACCCAGCAGCTGGACACCCTGCAGCTCTGCAGCCTCACCAAGCACGAGGAGAATGAGAAGGACAAGTAAATGGAGTGTTCTTTGCATCAAGTCTTTTGTGGTTTGGATTGTAGCAGCTAATTTTAGTCGTGTGCTCTGTGTATCTGTGAAGTGCTTCTGGAGAGAATGCTGAAAACAAAACGTTACAAAAGGTTTTTATTGACTTCAGCTGTTCCTCCTGCAGAAGGTGTTGTGTAGCAAAACAAGTGAAAATGTTGAGCTGAGTTTATAGAAAATTGATGGCTGTTTTCTGTGGGTGATATGTGTATTTTTTTTTTGGTCAAGGTGTGAAAACCATCATGAGAAGCTCAGTGTTTTCTGCTGGACCTGCAAGAAGTGTATCTGCCACCAGTGTGCACTCTGGGGAGGAATGGTAAGGGGAGATGGACACACTGTGAGGGACTTCAAACTTTGTGTCTGATGTGGTTTTGAAGAACAAGAAATGCTGTGAAACTGCTGTTGGGTTGCCATGCAAATACTGCAGGTTTAGGTGTATTTCTTATTTAGTAACACTGCTTGTGAAACACAATACTTTCAGTTCATAATTAGAGAAGGAAATCTAATTTATACCAAAACCAGGTCAGAAGTACCTTCCTTGTTATAAACTTCATGATGTTTTGGACAAATTCTTTGTGGTGGGGAGATTTTGTGAGCAAAGGAAGAAGCTTTGCTCAGAAAACACAGATAACACTTGTTGTTAATTGTCCTGGCCTCCAATCTCCAAAGCTATTAAATTCATCAGTGTTTATCCATCCAGTTGGGTATTCAAGAAGTATCAGTTGTTGCTGTTTGGAATGTAAGTGGTTAACAGTGTTCTGCCTTTGTTTGGCAAGAGTGTTTTAATAATAATAATAATAATGATAAAAATAAACCTTCTACCAATATTTGATTTGGTAAAGGATTGCACAGTGAATGAAGCCGTTTATTTTTGGAGAGGACTCTTGAGATTCCAAATAACTCCTGACAGGAAGCTTTGATGGAATGAGAGCCAAATTCATGATTTCTTACAAAGGGAAGTGAAAGACTGACTTCCTACATACAATCTGCTTTGGAACCTTTCCAGAATGAGTGATGCACTCGTAGGCTTTCTTCCCTTCTCTTTCAGGAATTTAATAGGAGTGGAATCAAGTGGAAAAGAGATGCTGTGTTATTCACCACCTCCTCCTCCTCTTCCTCCCTTTTTTTTCTCTTGGAACAGCACGGGGGACACACTTTTAAACCACTGGCAGAAATCTATGAGCAGCACGTCACCAAAGTGAATGAAGAAGTGGCAAAGCTGAGGAGAAGACTCATGGAATTGATCAGTTTGGTGCAGGAAGTGGTAAGAAAGTTCTCCTGCAGTGGCAAAGAAAAACTGTTAGAAGGTGGCAAGATTATCCCACTGAGAGACCTTTTTGTTTTTTCATTTGATTCTTTTTATACAATGTGGAAAGATCAAAATATTCTCAGTTCTGGTTTAGAGTTAGGTAACAGAATTTTTGTTTTGGAGTGTGCTGTTTAAAAGCTGGACTTGGACACTTCTTTGAAATATATATTTTTGTCAACATTTAGTGTGTTTTGTCATGCTAAATGAGTACAAAAATAGTTTATTCTAGCAGCTTATATCCCCTTTTCTAGAATAATAAACTGTAAATGTATTTGAGCTTGCAGGATGAGCAGCTCACCAGTTGGAGATGTGTTTGTGCACATTCTTTTTCTTCCCTGTGGGGTAAAAATGTCAAAAATCTGAATATTGACATGTTCAGCTCGGGCAGTTTCAGTGGGGATTCCAGCAATTTGATGCAGTTTCTGGTATCCCAGGAAGAATTACTTTTGTGTTCTGTTACATTTCTGATGTGTTGTTTTGTGCACATAAAACCAGGAATTTTTGGAGCTAGTTTCTGTATGATTTTTGTCCATTTTTCAGGTGCTTATTTGCCACATGCATTAATATTTTTGGTCTTCTCCAGCTCAGATGTGACTTTATAAACACAATTGGGGTGATAAAATGCTGAGAGTTTGTGGCCTTACCCTGGCAGGGAGAAGTGTGCTGGTTTTATCCATTGCTGTCACTGACATCTTTTATGAAAAATCCTTTCCTTGGGATTGTTCCTCCTGAGAAGCTGAGAGGCCTCAGGAATAAAATGCAAACATTGATTATCTGCTGCTGAGGAATGCAACAGGTGCATCTGGGATTGGCTCATGTGGTTGTTTCTAATTAATGGCCAATCACAGTCAGCTGGCTCTGACTCTCTGTCCGAGCCACAAACCTTTGTTGTCATTCTTTCTTATTCTATTCTTAGCTGGCCTTCTGATGAAGTTCTTTCTTCTATTCTTTTAGTGTAGTTTTAATATAACATATATCATAAAATAATAAATCAGCCTTCTGAAGCATGGAGTCAGATCCTTGTCTGTTCCCTCATCCTCAGACCCCTGTGAACACCATCACACATTACCACAGAACTTTTCTGGTTTTAGCACATTATTCTTGTTACCACAAAGAGTAAAGCACTTTTCTGTGCTGTTCAAGTTGATTTGATCCTAAGGAATCCCCACATGACAGGTTTGATGCTAAAGAATCCCCACATGACAAATCCCTGTGTGATCAGGCAACGTTGCTGAGTTTCCCAGTTCCCCTTGGGGCTCTGTGAAGGATCCAGTGAAATCACTCATCAAAGCAGCACTCCTCTTTTCCCTCTTGGGGGATTTAGGGGCAGTGAAGCATTTTGGGGGGCTGAGGGAGGGGAGGTGCAGCTGTGTGAAGGTTTGTGTCCCGCAGGAGCGGAACGTGGAGGCCGTGCGCAGCGCCAAGGACGAGCGCGTGCGCGAGATCCGCAACGCCGTGGAGATGATGATCGCCCGCCTGGACACCCAGCTCAAGAACAAGCTCATCACCCTCATGGGTGGGTANAAGGATTATTTCATGTTAAATATCCAACACCTGTGCTCTGAACCGATGTGTGGCCACAGGAATTTTACCATTTTGTGTAATTTAAATGTTCTGCTCACGCAGGAGGACCCAGCTGCCCTCCTGAAGGAGCTGCCCGTGCTGAAATCCAGGTACCAATCCCTGTGTGCCCAGATGGAGGAGATTTCCCTGGAGCAGAAGGAATCCATGGACAGCATCCGAGCTGCCCTGCAGAAAACCATGGAGATGGTGCAGGCGCTGCAGCAGCAAACCCAGCTGGAGGTGGTGGTTTTTTAATTTCATTAAAATTAAAATTTTCGTTTGAATCGCTTTCTTTTCACTGCTGGCAGCGAGCACCGACTTTGTAACCTTTGTGTGCCGCTGGAAATTATTGTTTTTATTTTAGAAGATCAGGAGACATTTCCCAGCAGGAATGCTGGCAGGATTGGAGCTGTTTTTGGAGTTAAAATTAGTAAAATCATTGCTGTTCAGCTTTGGAGCTGAGGAGTGTCCATAGAGTGACACAATTTGGGTCATTTCATAGGAACTGACACCTCTGTGCACTCCTCAGGGCCACACTGACACCTTAAAGAAAATACAAAGTGAAACCAGGTTTAAAAGGCTAAAAACTTTTAAATGATAAATGTATTTTCAGTGTCTAAAGGGAGAAAGTTAAACCATTGTAACAAACCCCCTGGGAGTGCTGTTATTCCAAAGCTGGTTTTCCTAAGATAATGATTAAATTGGTAAAAAACTCAACAACAAACAACATTTTCTTAAGTGGTCTTCAGCCACTGCTTCATTATTGAAGAGGTGAAAATATTAATTTTGACCCTTTACAAATGAGGTGATTTAGATCAATATTCTAATGCCTGGACATTTAGACAGATTTATTAATCTGTCAACAGTTATCAGTAACTTTTGATAGACAAAATGGGCTGTAACATGATTTAAAAGAGTGGTTCTATATCACAGAATGGAAAAATATCTTACTGTGCTTTGAGGATATTCTGCCCAGAATAATTTTATACTTGGATTTCCTCAAAGTGGAAGACCCTTTTTTTTTAAGTTATATGTAGAGCTTTAGGTAAAGATTTTCTTGCACTTTTTATATTTCCTAAGATAAAGATTTTCTTGCACTTTTTATATTTCCTAAACCAAAGATGGATCAAAACTTCTGGAGACATAAAAATCTTTAAACGAAATACCTTTTTTTTATTTGAAAAATTTCTTTTGCTTGACTAATTTATATAGTAAAATAAATATAATTTATAGTATTGGGGCTGGAGGAAGATGATGGTTGATTTTTCAGCACCACTTTTGTACATTTGGTTTTCAGAGGAAGGAAATGAGGAGTTCACTGTGAGTTTCACAAACATTGAGTCCCTCTGTAAATATCAGGAACTGAAGGATCACAATTCCCTGTGTTTGCTTTTCCTTGTTTTCCCAGAACTCCCCTCTGTCAGCACAAGAACAGACTGCAGCCCAGCAGTTAAACCTGAAAACGGGGAAAGAAATTGAATTTTCAGTGCAAGAGGTAATTGTGGGCATGGGATGTCAGAATTCCAGAAACTTTGAACCCCAAGTGCAGGAAGGGCTGATTTTGGGATTTTTCAGAAATGAGATTAAATTCCTTAACAAACATTTTCATTTTTATTCTATACAGATTTAGCTTTTTTTAATTGTTCCAATTAGATGGTCCACAAAGGAGAAATCAGCTTTGATGGAAGATTTTGTTCCTGTTATTTTTTAATTGGGATATGTTTGTGTTTCTTGGGAATGCACTTGGTTGATCTTGATAAAGCAACATTTGGGTGGGAGTGAGGGATGTCATTGATTCAAACCAATGTGGGGAGAAATTTAATTTCCTGCGAAACATTAAACAAATTTTGGGAGATGAGTAACAATCTATTCTAACTGTAAATATGAGTAACAATCTATTCGAACTGTCATGCAGTAAAACTTAGATCTAAATGAATATTTATTTAAAAAGTCAGATATTCTCCCATAGCTCGATGTGTAATTATCCAATATAATTATCTGCAAATATCTGCTCTGGGTCTCATATTAAAAATATTTAAAATATTTAAAATATTAAAAATATTAAAAATATTAAAAAATATTAAAAATATTAAAGCAGGTAAACAGAGGGTGTTTTTTCTGATTGAATTTTCCTACATCACACTTTGTGTCCCTTTATTGCCACACTTGGTTTGCATGGGGCCTGCCCAGCTCCTGCAGCTTCCCTCACCCTTTGTTTGCAAAAAATCTGCTCCTGCCTTGAGAAATGCTCTCCATTTATTTATTATTGATTTATGTCCCTCACTAATTCCAAATCATGTGCTGGAAAGCTGCACAGGCTCATCTGACTCTCACATTAATCTTTCTGTGTCCATTTTAAACTTCATTTTTAAACTCTGTTTAATCCCTAAGGTTTTGCTGTTGACCTCAGTGGCTGCAAGATCCAATGGCAAAATGTAATTAATGTAAATTTCATGCAGAAATGAAAGTGTGAAAAAAAGATTTTCTGGGCAAAGCACTAAGAAATACTGACATTATTGTTTATTTTTAGCCATCCTCCCCAGGATCTACAGACCCTGGCTCAGCTGAAGGTAAGTGCTGCAAAAAATCAACTTCACACTGGTTTAATTTCATAGAGGCTGTGACACTGCAGTGTTTTCACTCAAGCACCAGTATCTGCTGCTTTTATGTGAAGAATTTAGACTTTTCTAGAAGGACCTGACCCCTGAGTTGCATTCCAGGAATAGTTGCCACGTTTCTGGGATGTTTTTCTTTGCTTTCATTTGGATTGAAGTGGAAAACTTGTTGTGTTGAAGCTCTGGAAGAAATGGTGCACTGATCTTACCATAGAAATTCTTCTTTTCAACTCATTGATCCCTGCTTACAGGAAGGAATTTTCACAGTTGGTTTTTGGTTTGTACAAAAACCACACAAACAAACCCAAAAAGCAAAGGCAGCTGGTCACTGACAGACCAAATCTGTCAATCCTCACCAGATCTCAAATTCAATTATTTTTTACTGAGTGTTCCAGATCCAGTGATTGTTTTTTTCTCTCCTTTCTCTTGCTGGGAAATCTTTCTTTAGTCCCACCTAGGGGTGTTATCAAACACCAATGGAAGCACTTTCTATCTTTGATGCAATTTCTGAAGAAACAAATATTTTTCCATTTCTTTTTTTTTTTTTTGGTTTTTTTTAACAAATATCTTCTGTTTCCAATTTTTAGAAGCCCAGTTCATCCCACTGACTAAGGAAGCATTTCTGAGCGTGCCCAGGAGCATCAGAAGCACTGTCAAGTTAGCAGACCTGAACACTTTTTACAAGGAGTTATTTAACCATTTCATTGTACAGAACAACAGGTAAGGCTTAATAAAGCCATTCATGGAAAGGTTTTTATAAACTGCAAAGAATTTTATCCTTTTTAAATGAAATAAAAGCAGCTAGTTAAGCTTATTGTAAATTCAAAATGCCCTGAGACCAAACCCTGCCTTCCCCTCACCATCCCCTTCTCTGGGTGAGTGCTGGGGGTTTCTGACAGGCTGATGTTACAAAAAAAAAGGAAGTTTTAAACTCAGGAATTCTCTCTTTTTAACCCTGAGATTTACAAATGACTGCTGGGATTTGAAGTGACATAGAAAAGCTGATGGTAATCTGAATAAAATTGAGATTTACAAAAATCATTGATTAACCATCGTTTGCTTTTTAGCCTTTTTCTGCCAGACCTGATGCTCGATCCCTGCTTTACTAAATTGTTTTTGTCTTACAGAGCAGCACTGAGTCTTTCACAGATGAAAAACATGAATATGAAAGCCACTGACTCAAGAATTCGAATCCTGGAAGAACTGGGGATTGTAGAAGTCAACAAACAAGGAAATGTTAAATTAGCTGTGTGAGAGAAAACTCAGAAGCATCCTGGAAAATCTCCTGGGTTATTGAGGAACAGGAATTTCTCTGGAAGCAGAGTTCCACTGTAGGGAAGTTGTTGATGTTTCTGTATAAATATTCTGTTGGTAACACTTGAAATTGGAGAGTTCAAGGTCACTGAGGTTGGCACTTTACCTTGGCTGTAAAGGGATTTATTGTGGGATTTTTTTTATGATGGGATTTCTTTAAGGGATTGTGGTTGATGCATTTTTAAGGAATGTTGTGAGCCATGTTCCACTTTCCTGCTGCGTTCCTGAGGGGGTTTTAAAGGCAAATAATCCAAGGCTCTTCATTGTCCTTGCATTCCTGAATAAAGATTTATTTTAATTTTGTTGAAGTGACTCCTGACCCTGATTCATTTCCCTTTAATGTCAATTCCCTCGGGTTTTTACAGTCCAGGCAGGGTCAGAAGGGATTTCTGGGCACTGCCCAATTCCAAACCCCTAAACTGCAGCTCAGGGCAGAATCCTGAAAATTCCCAAGGATCCAGAATTTACAACCTTTGACCACTCTAACAGTGAAAAACATAACATTTTTTTCTTATGTCTAATATTTCTATATTATATATATTATACAGTCTATGTATATTATATAGTTTTAAATATTTATATTTATATTGTTATATTTCAGCATAATTTGAGAGGGTAAGATACATGATTTTTTATTAAGTTACTGTGGGTTTTTTTTTTTTGCAAAAAATTATGTCTCTGAAAGGAGAAAAATTTAAATTAGTGCTGTTAGGAAGGGAAAGGCTGATTTCTGAACCCATCCTTGAACTGCTTTAGGGTTTGATGGGAAGAGAAACAGGCTGGGTATGGCAGAGGAAAGAACAGGGATAAGTTAATTTTATGGTGTCTGCTGCCAAGGGTGCCCTTTGAGGAGTAACTAATCAGTTTCAAGCAATTATTCAGTTTCACAAATAATTTAGTAGCTTTCAACCACATTGATCTTCTAATAGAGGACTCAAACCTTGCTGTGCCACTACCTAAAGCAGGGTTAAATATTTAATTTCAAGCTGGCTGTAGTAACTGAAGACAGCTCTCAGTAGAGGCCAGAAACCCATCCCTGCTCCTGAAATCTNTGTTCTCAAAACTTACTTTTACTTTCCCAAAACAGCCAAAGATAGAATATTTACCTGTTATGAGAAAACTGCCTGAGAGCCCTGGTATGAAAGGTTCTCGAGGCCTTCATGTTTGTCACTTTTGTTTTCCCATACCTTATCCAAGGACAAGATATTTACTTGTTATTAAAAACCACCTGAGAGCTTCTGCTGTTTCCAGAAACAGGCTGTGAGAATTTGCTCCTCACAGCTGCCTTTTAAGCCATTTCTGAAAAAATCTCCAACATAAACCCACTGGGAGACTTTGTTTCTGTGGGAGGGTGACTCCTTCCATGCTGTGGTGTTGGGCGAGTTCACTGCTGCCTGAAAACTTCCACCTGCAGCAAAGCCTTTGGTTAATGATGTAGCTACTGTGAAAAGTTCTAAATTCACCATAACCTGATTATATTCTGGTAAAAACTCCTATATAATGACTTGGAAAACATTCCCATCTGGCTGGAAGTTATTTAGCACTTTTCAAGTAAAGTGCTTTAACTTCATCCGTTATGTTGGTCAGGAAGTGCATCTTTCTAATTTGAAAATCCATCTTTGTAATAGATACTCCTTTTAATGTAATTTTAATGTAAAAAGGGCTTATCTGGGTAAGAGTCAAACCTGCTTTTCTTTCTGTGCATAAAAGCACCCCAGACCAACAAACCTGCCATTTCTGGGACACAGAGCACTTAGTTACTGACTTAACCTCAAATGAGTTATTTAGTACAGCTCTAATTAAGGATGTAGACCTGCTTTTCAGATGCTTTCTCAATCAGCCTTGGTACATGTAAAAATCCTTTACTTTAGTATGTTCTGGGGCAGCTTCCAAGTGGAAACAACAACAAAAAAAAAGAAAAGTATGCTTAAGAAATATTGAATATGTGTTTTAGAGGTTTTTTAACATTTTTTCTTTAAACAGGTCAGAAGACATCACTTACTCAAGAAACTGAACTTCTGGAAACCCTGCTACAAGAAGTAGAACATCAGGTAATTATGAAAGGAGATTAAATGTTGTGTAGATAGGCCAGCTGAGGAGGGATCTTTCTTACTTACTTTTTTTATTTTAAAAATATTAATTGATGGATATTTCTGGAGGATATATTTTCATTGATGTGGCCTTAGGTTGCACAATTTCTTCTTAAGTGTGTCTTCTAGAGATACTCAAAGGTGTTGTGTGGTTGAAAAATTACTACAGGGATTAATGGCAATATCATACAAAATTGCCCAGTTCTGTGTAAGTTAGTTTAATCTAAGGGAAATACACAGTGGCTGTTGTAACTTCCATTGTGGAATTCCAGAAAATGAAATAACCCAAAACCTCCAAGCTGCATTTTATCATTGTGTTGTGAGTAAACTTCCTGAAGCTGTGACAAACATGTGATTCAGTTGTTTAAAACCACAAGTGGATAAAACCTCTGATTTTGACTGAGATAGGGATTTTTTCCCTTCTTTTTTCCCCTCCCAGCTGCGGTCCTGCAGCAAGAGTGAGCTGATATCCAAAAGCTCCGAGATCCTGATGATGTTCCAGCAGGTCCATCGGAAGCCCATGGCCTCCTTTGTCACCACTCCTGTCCCCCCAGACTTCACAAGGTCAGTGTTGCACTTCTGCTCTGTTTGTTCAGAGCTTAAAAACACATTGAAAGTACCTGAGAGGAGAGTTTCCTCTTAACTTACTCCTTGTAGTAACCTGTGCTGCAAGTAGGCTTTTGTGTCCCAGCAGGGCTTATTTTGTGTCTGAAGTCCCTGCTGGGGACCAGTGGGTTCCAGCTCACTTTTTTTTTTTTTTCTCTTTTACACATAGTTTACTGATTTGTCCTTTTTTCTCTTATTATTGGGTCATTGAGTGTATAATTGCCAGGCTCTCATGAGATGCCTCTGCAGGTCACCTTAATTCAGAATATACAGCCAAAATCACTTCATAGCACGATTCTTCATCAGGAGAGTGCTGCTGGTGCTGGGTTCTGAGGGAGCCTGTGCTGAAAAAATGTCTCCAAAAAATGGAAAGTCAGAGAAGTGTCAAGAATTCCTCAGCAAAAATTGGTTTGGCTGTGTCATGGTTTAAATCTGAATGGTTATTTTCCAGTGGCACCAAGGAATCTCCTCCTGAGGAGGTGTATAAATGGAATTATTCTGCAATAACCCAGTGTAGTCTTGATGAATTTCAGTGGTTCTGGTGACCTGAAACACCTGAAGTTCTTCTACAGATTGCAAAGGTTGGGATTTTTAATACCATGTTATTCAAGTGAAATAAATTTATTCTTTCCCCACACAGTGAATTGGTTCCAGCCTATGACTCAACAACATTTGTCTTGGAAAACTTCAGGTAAGAAAATTTTAATTACTGTGAATATTGGCACCATCCTTCCGTACGTGAGAAATGTTATTTAAAACACAGAACAACCTCTACAGAAAACAGTGAGATGTAGACTAAACTATGGGAATTCCATAAAAAATCTGTTGTTTAGCAGGTGAATAATCAATTCTGTGGGAGGGTTTTGCTTTGTCCCAGTCCCAATTGTTGTCCCTCTGTCTGGCAGCACCCTGCGGCAGCGCGCGGATCCCGTGTACAGCCCTCCCCTGCAGGTGTCAGGACTGTGCTGGAGATTAAAGGTTTACCCGGTGAGTTTTGTCTCCAGCTGGAGCTGTTTTCCCATCCCAGCTCATTCCCAGTAAGGAATCATGTTTGTCCCATGCTGGACATGAAAAGAAAAGAACATTATAAGTATTGATCACCAGCCTTTGGAGGGTTCCCTCTCTGCCTCCAGATCTCCACTGAGAACATGCTCAGTAGAGTTTGGTCAATTTAGAACCAATTAAAGATGGGCTCTACTGATATTGCAGAGGAACTTTGATGGATGTTTTATTGTCTCAGGGATTTTTGCAGATGTTCCTTACAGAACTGAGGTATAGAATAACTATAGAATACTCAGTTATATAGATATAGTTATATAGATATATTATAAATATATCAGTTATATAGATATATTATAAATATAGAATACTCAGTTATAAGTATCACTGTTTGAGTGATACTTCCTGGGGACGGTGGGAGGAGCACCAAGCATTTGTTCTTGACTCTGCATCCAACTCCCAAACTGGATTAAAACTTGTATTTTGCTGTGTCCCTTCAGTGGGCTGAACATTCCAGTTCCTGAAGCTTTGTCCATGTTGGAATGTTGACCCCCAAGCTGGGATCTTCCCACATTCCCTGCTCTGCTCAGTGCTGCTCCTGCAGCTCTGTGGAGAAGGAGCTTGGTGGTGGAGCAGCAGCTCTGTCTTTGTGATTTTTGTGACATCCTTGAAAAATTGGCTCTATAAGTTAAGCCCATGGATGGCCAGAATTGAATGATTGCAGTGCAGAGGTGGAACTGTGTGGAAGTTTCCACAGTATTGTAAATTCAGGATTAGCTACCTGAGCTGTGCTGTCAGAAGGCATTAAAATTTATTTTTTCAATGGTAAGTTGAAATGTTTCTTCAAGCTGGAGGATTCACGTTGAGCCATTCTTCATCCTTGATTCAGGTGAGTGTGATGGAGGTTTTGCTGTATTTTTTTCTTGACTTCTGGTGACTCTAATATTGTTTCTCAGTTAACTGCCCTAACTTTTCATGTTGCATGGGATTTTTTTCTGAAGAAATTGCTCTTTCCTCAAAAATGAGGTAGCTTTGAAATGTATGCAAAATATTTCAGAACTAATGTTTAACCTAAAATAATATTTTGCTGATACATTAAGTGTTTGTCTATTCAGACTTCCACTTAATCAAATACCTGAAGTGTTAATAGAGGAATTAAAGCTTTGTCTTGAGATTTATATCTGAGATACCAATACTAGACTGTGAATGTGCTTCCTGTTGATCTGTGTTATAGAAGGAGGTCACTGAAGACTAAAAATCACAACTGTAACACCCAGAGTAGATTCCTGCTGCAAATCCAGTCCTGATTGAAGCAGTTTTCTAAACTTCTCTAAGTTTGCTGTATCAAATTGTTTTGTTTTGTTATTTTTTTCTAGTTTTTGCTTTCTATTTTTAATCAGTGTCTCGATTTCATTTCAAGGATGGAAATGGAGTAGTTCGAGGCTACTACCTGTCAGTGTTCCTGGAGCTGTCTGCTGGGCTGCCTGAGACATCCAAGTAAGCAAAGCTGCACTAGGAGCAGATGTTGGGGTTTTTCTGTCAGAGACTGCAAAGCCCTTTGAAAAAGAATGCTGAGAGTTCTGTTGTCCATTGAGCTTTAACTGGGCACAGAGATAATATTTTAAAGTTGTTACTCAGTGGCTTTCTTGAGATAAAAAAGAAGCTGGTGAAACAACTGATAGGAGTATCTGTGTAGTAGTACAGCCCTGGAGTTCACTCTGCTCCATATTCTTGCTGTGTTTTATTTTTCACTGTTTATTTAAGCACACAGTAACATTTTAGGCCTGGCACTCATTCAGCTGGGCATGAAAGCACAGCTCTTAAACCACTCAGCAATTCTGACATCTTTTGATCCCAATCCCTGTTCCTTTGCCCTGGCCAGGTATGAATACCGTGTAGAAATGGTTCACCAGTCCACCAACGACCCCACCAAAAACATCATCCGGGAATTCGCCTCTGATTTCGAGGTTGGCGAGTGCTGGGGCTACAATCGCTTCTTCCGCCTGGACCTGCTGGCCAACGAGGGCTACCTGAACCGCCAGAACGACACCGTCATCCTCAGGTGGGGCTGCTGCTCTGCTCCCCAAGGGGGGCACCACAAACCTGCTCCTGAAACAAGGCAATCATTTATTTACCTGTTTGAATTGAAAATCTTGGTGCCGTGTTTTGTTCCAAGTGGGTTTCGCCCTCGGCGGGTTGAAAGAAGGAAATGTGGCAAAGGAGTCATGGAGTGTTTTGAGTGTGTCTTCCTTTGAGGAGTGGCTGCTCCTCATTAATAAGGGTTAGAGATCTGTAGCTTCCAGAATTAAAGGAAAAAGGTGCTTTTTCTCCCTCTTTAGGAACAGTTTTAGTGAGCATTGGAGAATTTTGGGTATAAAAGTCTGTGAGTCCCTGCTACAGAACTCACTGTGGCCAGTCAGGGTATTCAGGACACTGAGTCCACAAGGACCTGTTTGTTAAGTTTATTTCACCACTAGATTTTAGATTTTAAGGTTTTTCTGCAGGGGACATTTAAAAACAAACCTCAAACCAACCAAACTCCCTCAAAAACCCCTTTTCAAACGTTCCTTTGAAGGTTCCAAGTGCGCTCACCAACCTTCTTCCAGAAGTGCCGCGATCAGCACTGGTACATTGCTCAGCTGGAAGCAGCTCAGACGAGTTACATCCAGCAAATAAATAACCTGAAAGAGGTAAATGGGGTGTTTGTGAATGTAAAATCACCTCTTGGAGTGTCTCTGCAGGTCAGCAAAGCTGCTTGGTTTGCTGCTGCTGCTCCATTGTTATTTTTGTGCTCTCAGAGGCTCGCGATTGAGCTGTCCCGGACGCAGAAATCCCGAGGGGTTTCCCCTCCAGACACTCACCTCAGCCCCCAGAACGATGAGGGCTCAGAGACAAGAGCAAAGAAACCTGGACAAAGCATTGAAGCACTGCTTGAGAATTTCACTGCTCCAGGATTGGCACGGGAGAACAAGGAGGAGGAGGAAGAGAAGACTCAGCAGGAGGACTTTAATGTAGGAATTCTCTTTTTCCCACCTCTGTTTGTTTATGTGCAGCTTTCTTTGCTAAGGCAGCAATAGAAACAGGGGGAACTTGTGAATTGTAAATGAGGTTTATTATCCTTGCTGTGGAAATAGGAGATGACACACTTGAGAGCTGTGAGGGAGAGGTGACTCCAGAGAGATGTTCCAGAACTGAGCTAAAAGATCCCACCACAAAAAGTCTCCAAGAAAAATCTGATTTGTGTTTGTTCTTTAATGTGCTTTGAGAGCCTCCTCACTGCTGTGTGATGGTGACCCTGGGGACAGAGAGTCTGTTCACAGCTTTTGGGGATGCATCAAGGTGCTGCTGAATGTTTCTAGATCAAAACCCTCCTGTTTTTCCTGCAGCACGAGCTCTCAGATGGTGACCTGGATATGGACCTTGCAGGAGAAGATGAGGTGAACCACCTTGATGGCAGCAGCTCCTCAGCGAGTTCAACAGCAACCAGTAACACTGAGGAAAATGACATTGATGAAGAAACGATGTAAGTAACTAAAAATGTCTTTCAGCTCATCCTGTACCCAGGGTAATCATCCTAATTCCAGTGGAAACTGAGTAATTTGCTGGGGTGTGTGGGATCCCAGTGTGATTTGGGAGGTGGTTCCTATACTGGGAACAACACAAACTCATAGAGTTGGTGCTAAACATTGAATTTTTGGTCAGCTAATTAGTGTCTTTCTGATCTCTTTATTTACGCTGATGCTGCACTCTGTCTTTGACAAGTGATAATCTGTGAAGGTTCTTTCCCAAACACCATTCAGGAATCTGTCTCAGTGCTGTAACAGAGGAGAGGTCTGGCTCTGGGAAGTGTTGCAGTAGTAGGAGAGTGATGATGAGGCCAGGTACTTAAATTAGGAAATTCAAGACTGAGCAGAGCTGATGTCAAATCCTGGAATCTTAATTAAAACATGACAATCTGCTGCTGCACTTCCAAACCCTGGAGTTTGCAGCATCACATTTTGCAGTCTGGGTACACACAGCACTTTTGGCCTCTTGGGTAATGAGACAGCCATTTAATTACTACACTTCCTTTGTCTGTTTGGCTAGCTTGGAATGCAGGAAATACAATTTATGTTGTGTTTTGAGGTTTGTGCCACAACATTTAACAAGAGCTGAGGAAAGCTAACAGTTGTGTTCTCCTTTTCCCACCCTGCCCACCCCTGCAGGTCTGGAGAGAACGATGTGGAGTACGGCGGTACCATGGAGCTGGAGGATGGAGATTTCATGGAGGATGCAGCAGCTGCTGCTACTCCTGGAGCATCAGGTATGAAAAATGACTCCAGAATTGCCATCAGAGTGGAACACTGCTGGATTCCTTCCCCTGCTCCTCCTGCAAGCAGAGCCAAGCTGTGTGTTCTGCAGGCAGTTCTATTTTGGGAACTGCTGCATCATGTGGTTTGTGCTGATTATTGCAGTGTAGCAGAAACACTTCATTGGGTCAATAAAAAAAAAAAAAAGGGGGGGGGGAAGGAAATCAGGAAATCTGAATGTGCTGGTTTAAAAACGATGTCAAAGTTTGGAGGGCAGCTTTGAAATTCCTTGTGTTCCAATCAATAGGAGACTGACAAGGAATTTTTACTGATGTCAGGGTGACCTCTGAGTGGGTGACACATTCACTTGGGGTTTAGTGCACTGCAAAACCCAAAGAATGTGGAGGGAATGAAGTAAAGAATACTCACAATACATTTTAAATGCCACTTGGTAAGGTGTTCTGGGATCTTCTGCTGCCTGGAGATGATCACAGCCCAAATTAGCCACAAGATTCTGAAAGAAATGAGTGTCTATATGGGATATAGAGAGATACTGTGGAATCTGAGTGTATTTATTTAGGACAAAGACACCAGAAGTGCTGTTTGTGCTGCTGTGAAAGTCTCTTGGTGCTTGAAGGACAGAATTCCCAGTTTTGAAGTTCTGGAGGTCAGGGAGGGACATGTTTGTCTCCTTAATCCTTTAGAGTAACTCTAATCTTTGTATTTCTTTATTAACAAATCTGCTCATTAAGAGATTTTTATAACAGGTATGAAGTGAAGCATTTCCCCCTTTCCAGCTGTTTTTATCTTATTCTTTAATTTGCAGCACACCCAATTGCTTTCAGCACCCAGAAATCCACAAAACACCCACATCTCCTTAATTCCATGGGGTCAATGAATTCCTAATCCACCTGTGTGACTCTTTTTTGTTTTCCCCAGGTAATCAATGTCCCTCATCTGT